TGTGATATGCTAGAAATCTGAGAACAAGTGATCTTGGTTAGTCAAAGGTAACCTCAATTATTCATCAGAAACCAGAAAGACAATGTCAATTAAACCTTATAATAAAAGAACAGCAAAGAAGCTGCCTTGTTTCTCATTTGTGCTATTTAAAAATATAAATGGCTGCAAAAGTTAGTGTTTTGCCTTTTGCATCAGCATTAATTTGGGGGGAACCCCCCCAAAAAACCCAAACCATTTTCTAATTATTAAAAAAAATATTTTGTAACCAGAATGTGCATTATCTGTAACGTGCTTAAGCATTCCTTTATCATTTTCCCATTCCCAAATAGGCTCTCGGCTCTCTCCCTTTCTTATCAATTTAAACTTGCGTGCACTATAGGATTTAATTGTAATGATTTGTCTTTGAATACATTTATTCAAACCACCTCCTTTGGAAGCTAACATAATAATTTGTTTTTCCTTGATATTCTAAGCTTCATGACAATCATATACAGCCTTTTAACGTTGCATTCTCTTAAGAAACTTTCCATTTCAAAAAATAGAAAGGCATCCACAACATCAATAATTCAAAAATACTCCCAGTAATATTAATCACAGCAGGTATTTTCATTTATTTTCCAAATAGGCCTCCCCATACCACCTCACCTTGTTTCCTACCACTCGCACCAGCTTGCATACTGGTCTTTCTTTCCCTGTACACATTTGACCCATTTTCAGTGACCCTTTTGTCATTGGATTATGTATTTTTCCCACCTCAATTTCAATGGGGTCTTTTAAGACTTAATCCAGTACCTACCTTTTCGTTTATACCTTCCCTGACCACTCTAATCTCCAGTCCAAATTCTCTAATTTCACTTATTCCCTTCACTCCTGTCTGTACGAGGTCAAACATACCTCCCTAAATCACCATGTCACCACCTCTCTTATTCAAAAAACCTTCCATGGGCCCTGGCCAGGCAGCTAAGTTGGTTAGAGAATCGTCCCGATACACCAAGGTTGCAGGTTTGATTCCTGGTCAGGGCACATACAAGAATCAACCAATGAATGCATAAATAAGTGGAACAACATATCAATGTTTCTGTCTCTCTCTCTCTCAAATATCAATTTAAAATAAACACCTTCATTCATGATTCTGAATGCTTCTCCCTACCTTTTTTTTAAACTAGTAGCACTAAACAAGTTCTTTAGAAGGAGAATTTTACTATGGCTTGAGTTCTTTTGATTATCATTGCTAGATTATCATTTCTCAAATTAAATATTCAACAAACAGTTAAACAAAAATAGTTAAATATCAGGAATTAAGAGAGGATAACTTCTCATTGGATGAAAATAAATTTATGAATATTGCTAGAAAAATCTGTTAAGGTCAATTTTATTCAAGTGTAAGTCAAACAAAAATTCCATTTCAGCAGAACTAGAACTATAATCACCAGTTTCAAAGCTTAAATTAAAAAAAAATTATATCTTTTTCCAAATTATTTTCTTTTTTTAAAAATATATTTTATTGATTTTTTACAGAGAGGAAGGGAGAGAGATAGAGAGTTAGAAACATCGATGAGCGAGAAACATCGATCAGCTGCCTCCTGCACATCTCCCAGTGGATGTGCAGGTACATGCCCTTGACCGGAATCGAACCTGGGATCCTTCAGTCCGCAGGCCGACGCTCTATCCACTGAGCCAAACCAGTTTCGGCTCCAAATTATTTTCTAAAATAAATTCTGAAATTTATTTTATTTTAATGAAACAAAATTACCTACATACAGATAATCACTCCTTGTAAAGTAACAAATTAATTTAAAAAATTGATTTCAGAGAGGAAGGGAGAAGGAGAAAAGAGAGAAGTATCAAGGATGAGAGAGAATCATTGATCTGTTGCCTTCTGCATCCCCCTACTGGAAATTGAGCCCCCAACCTGGGCATATGCCCCGACCGGGAATTGAACTGTGACCTCCTGGTTCACAGGTCAATCAATACTCAACCACAGAGTCACACCAGCCAGGCAGAAATTGAATTTTGATTCCTTCTTCAAAGGAGAAACTACTCATAGCTGGACTGTAATTGCTTTAAAGGCAAGGAGACCAGTCTAGTTTACTCACTGCCTTATCCTCTACACAACAGAGTGTTAAAGTACATGCCACACTTAGTTCCTGTAAGTATTTTCTAAGTATCTATATGTAGTAATAAAGACAGCTTTAAAACACCCAGTATGTGTTTTTTACATGGTGGCTTTTACTAATCCACATGTAGAGTCAGATGGCTCACCTTAATATTAAAGTGTGTTTTCTAAGTACTAGATCAGTGATGGCGAATCTATGACATGCGTGTCAGAGGTGACACGAGAACTCATTTTTTGGTTGATTTTTCTTTGTTAAATGGCATTTAAATATCCTATATAATAAAAGAGAAACATGCAAATTAACCGTCCCTCTGTTGCGCTCAAGCCACGCTCACAAGCCACACCCACCAACCCATCAGGAGAGGGTATGCAAATTAACCCAACTAAGATAGCGGTGG